AATGAAATGCCGGGACTGATGTTGCTGCGCAAAAAGTATGGTTCGAGCAAACCGTTGAAAGGAGCACGGATCGCTGGGTGCCTACACATGACAGTGCAAACTGCCGTACTTATTGAAACGCTTTTGGAACTTGGAGCATCAGTTCAGTGGTCTTCGTCCAATATCTTCAGTACGCAAGATAATGCCGCTGCCGCAATGGCGAAAGCTGGCGTTGCAGTTTATGCTTGGAAAGGAGAAACCGATGAGGAGTATGTTTGGTGCATAGAACAGGTATTCCTTTAGTCCGTGTTTATTTCTTAGACTTTGTTCTTCCCCGATGGCAAACCCTTGAACCTCATTCTGGATGATGGTGGTGACCTCACGAACTTGGTGCATGATAAATATCCGGAGCTGTTGGAGGGTATCAAAGGCATATCCGAGGAGACTACTACTGGTATCCATAACCTATACAGAATGTTTCGCAAAAACGAACTGAAATGTCCTGCCATTAATGTCAATGATTCGGTGACCAAGGTAATCACAGCTCTTTCATTTTATTGAAGCAGAGCAAATTCGATAACCTATACGGCTGTCGCGAGTCTCTCGTTGATGGAATCAAACGCGCTACCGATGTTATGTTGGCGGGAAAGGTTGCCTTTGTGGCCGGCTTTGGGGACGTGGGGAAGGGCTGCTGCCAGTCTCTGCGTTCCTACGGCGCGCGAGTTTTGGTTGCCGAAATCGACCCGATAAACGCACTTCAGGTATGTTGTCCTTCCCAGGTTGCGTGTGCAAAGTTTGTCCTCATCGCACCTTTTGCCAGTTATGCGAGATGCGTGTAATCATACCTCTGATTTTTCGTAGTCATACTGATGAGAATTAGTCAACTCTACGGGTCTGTTAACAAAATATCATACGAAACTGATCGGAATAAACCCACAAGAGGTTACTGTTCGTGGTGGTGCTAATTTTCAATGCTTGGTCTCTTCGGCCTGTTTACCACGTCATCTGGTAACTTTACGCGTTGCAGGTACCTGCAATGCATCACGTGATCCCGTTATTCTTGTTGAACTGGTGAACTTGTTTTCCATTTTACTTAGCGCATTCATTAAGCTGTCTTTGGATATATCCTTACACAGCATCCTCAATGAACCTCTGAATGCCTTTCAAGTTGCGACACAAA